GGGGAGCCGGCATGGCGGCCGGGAGCAAAGGTGGGCCCGGGGTGCCGCCTGCGCGCACCTGCCGGGGTGGCCATGTCCGCCCCCCGGGCTCGGGCTGGGCTGGGCTGACACACGTGTGAATGGGGCGAGGCCGGCGCTTGTCTTTGGGAAGCGCAGCGAGAGCGGCCGGGCTGCAGGGCGGGCTGTGCCCCCGCCGCCCCCCGCCGCGGAGACCAACTGGAATTGCGTGTTTTAAGAAAAAGGGAGGGAAAATATTTTAAGAGGATATTTTTAGGAAAAGGGAGATTTTAAGAGGATATTTTAAGACAAGGGAAAAAACGATTTTAATAGGATGCTTTAAGGAATAGGGGAAAAAGTTTTTAGGAAGATATTTTTAGGAAAAGGGTGGTTTTAATAACATATTTTAAGGGGATATTGTAAGAAAAAGGAACAAAAGACATTCCCGGAAGAGCTTCAGTCAGAGTTGGCAGCCCTGGCTCTGAAATGCCCGTGCGCCGAACAGGTCGCCTTGACGACTGAGCAGTTCTAATTTAAGTTTAGGATTTATTTAAAAACACGAAAAGAAAAGAAAGCTTTTATCCCATGATCCCACTTAATTTTTTTTTATTCAGTCTAAATGTGCAGAGCACAGATTAAAACTAATTAAAAACCTGTAAAATGGTTTATTAAGCAAAATAATAGCTGGCAGTTACTTATGTGGCAACCGCGATGGAGCCTTGATGATGTCCCTTTAATTCTTAGTGTCATGCTGTAAAAACATCCTGCTCCACTTGCTGTTTTTGTGCACAGCTGTTGAGTTAAGGGTGCATCAGTTTGTAAATTTGAGCCGTAGCTCTGAATTAGATTATTTTTATGTGGGCATTTTTCTGAATTGAATATGTATTTAGCTGTGTAGCTCAACCTCCTGATACAAACTTGATGCAGGATTAATGGGACAAAATGGCTCCCTGGATACTTATTTATTTGTATGCCCATCGAACTCATTTAAATTAAAATGTAAAATAGTAAAACAATTCAGTTGTACCTCTCTGTAAGGTCACAGCTCTGGAAATAGCCCACTGTACCATGGAGGTAGTCCATAAAGATTCTTGTACACCCTGTTTTCCATGGAATGCATGGCATCTTTTTTTTTTTTTTTCTCAAAGCCAAGTCTTTTAAACAAATTGACAAATGAGACTTAATCTAGCCATTTGTGAACCAGTACTGTGTAGTAGCAGAATATTATGATAAAGAGAGTGTCCACATCATTAATGAAGATGTTGAACAATATGGGTCCAAGGACAGAGCCTTGGGGGACCCCACTGGTCACAGGGCACCACGACAATTGACTTCCATCAATTACCACCCTCTGGGTCCGACCGCAGAGCCAATTTCCCAGCCAGTGGATCATGGTGGACCCAAGGCCACAATTGGCCAGAGGTGATCATGGGATACCAGATCAAAGACTTTTTTGAAGTCAAGATATGTGACATGAATCTCTTCTCCCTTGTCCAGGTGATAGGTCACCTGGTCGTAGAAGGAAATGAGATTGGTCAAGCAAGACCTACCTGCAACAAACCTGTGCTGGCTATCCCTCAGGATGTTGGCATTGGCCAGTCCATTAAGGATGGCCTCTTTAATAAACTTTTCTAAGATCTTGCCCGGGATAGAAGTCAGGCTGATGGGCCTATATTTTGCCGGGTCCACATTCCTCCCTTTCTTGAAGATAGGCACCACATTGGCCTTCTTCCAGTCTTCGGGCACTACACCCGAGCGCCAGGAGTTTTCAAAGATCCGTGCCAGAGGCTGGGCTATGATGCTCGCCAGCTCCTTGAGTACCCTGGGGTGAAGATTGTCAGGGCCAGCTGACTTGAAGGTACCCAGCCTCTCAAGATGTTCCTTCACGAGGTAAGCATTGATGGGAGGGCAGGGGATCTCCCTTACCCGGACCTCCCTGTCCCGTAGCGGGCATGGGTGTCCCACGATCCCACTTAATTTTTTTTTGATTCAGTCTAAATGTGCAGAGCACAGATTAAAACTAATTTAAAACCTGTAAAATGGTTTATTAAGCAAAATAATAGCTGGCAGTTACTTATGTGGCAACCGCGATGGAGCCTTGATGATGTCCCTTTAATTCTTAGTGTCATGCTGTAAAAACATCCTGCTCCACTTGCTGTTTTTGTGCACAGCTGTTGAGTTAAGGGTGCATCAGTTTGTAAATTTGAGCCGTAGCTCTGAATTAGATTATTTTTATGTGGGCATTTTTCTGAATTGAATATGTATTTAGCTGTGTAGCTCAACCTCCTGATACAAACTTGATGCAGGATTAATGGGACAAAATGGCTCCCTGGATACTTATTTATTTGTATGCCCATCGAACTCATTTAAATTAAAATGTAAAATAGTAAAACAATTCAGTTGTACCTCTCTGTAAGGTCACAGCTCTGGAAATAGCCCACTGTACCATGGAGGTAGTCCATAAAGATTCTTGTACACCCTGTTTTCCATGGAATGCATGGCATCTTTTTTTTTTTTTTTCTCAAAGCCAAGTCTTTTAAACAAATTGACAAATGAGACTTAATCTAGCCATTTGTGAACCAGTACTGTGTAGTAGCAGAATATTATGATAAAGAGAGGATGAATTTTATGGTGATATTGCAGGGTGCTACTTGTGCTTTGCATGTCATCAGTAGAAAACAAGGGGAACTAGAACTGCTTCTAAACCTTAGATAAAAAATTTTAAACCTGGTGTCTTAATAGTTGGGGTCTAATAATCTATAACATGGTTATGAATGCCAGCTCCGATGGAATTCACGAGGAGCTACATGTAAGAACATACAAATTCCTGCACAAGGTCAGTCCAAAGGGCCATCTTGCTCAGGACCTTGTCTGCAACTGTGGCAAGTAGCTCCATAAAAGACAGCATAAGAAACAGGATATGCGTAGGGTGATAACCTTCCAACTACCAGGAGTCATAGGGTTTAGGTTCCATCCCTTGTGTTTAATAGCATTGGATAGACCTGTCCTTAAAATTGGCTGGTCCCTTTTTAAACCTGATTATTGAGTTGATCTTCATAATGTGCTATGGCAGTGAGCTCCAGAAGTTTATAGGATCATAGGAAAGTAGGGCTGGAAGGGACCTAATGAATCCTCTAGTTCAGGCGCCTGTTAAGGCAGTTT